TCTGTAGGTGACAGCAGCCAGCACCTTATCTTTAAGGATAGCCATACATAATCTAGTTATTAATCTTCCTTGAGCCAGTTATGCATACATTTACCTTTATCAAAGCCAACGGAATACAGCAGGTCACCCCCTGTCTCCGGAAATTGCTTACCAGGCTAAGAGCTAGCCAAAAAAAAAAAAAAAAAGAAGAAAGCAAACAACAAGAAAAGAAAGCTTTTTGTCACTTAATTGTGTATCTGAATACAATGGTCCATATAACTTGCCAATCACACAGGCATTGTCTATGGGGTTTTAGTTTTTCGAGTTTCTAGAACACATTAATAAAGAACATTTTAAAGTATGAGGCTTAAAGATTTTACAAATATTTTCGAAGTATTGCATCAATGAGAGCACATTCTGAAATAGTAATTTATTTTTTAAATCCTGAGTACTTTCAACTTGGAAAAAAACCCCTCTCAAAAAACTCTTTACAAATCACATGAACATTGACTTTTTTTCTTACTTGGTTGGATGCAGTGTATGCTAAAATAAATCACTAATGCTACAAGACATGACCTTATTTTTTCATAGATCATGCCCTATTCTTGAGCAAGAGATTCAGGTTGCAAAAGGCAGAAAGGAATCCAGAGCTGAGTTTTAAGCACAGCTCTCAGAGGATTTCTCACTGGAACAGCACAATGCTGCCAGAGGCATGTGTGGACATGCCCTAAGGTCTCTCTTTCTGGCTATCCCCTCAAGAAGGCAGAGAGCAAACCAAATAGCAGTTCTGCTATACGGTGTTTACTATATGTAAAAACATTTTTTTGCAGAACACAAATTGAAGATTACAGTTTTAAACAACTGCTCCAGGGCTAGACTGAATACTTAACTCATCTGACAAAAAGAAGAAAAGGAACTAGGGCTCTGTGCTGCTCAATTTGGACATTTTCTACACATTGGATCCTGAAGCTCATACTCAGCTTCTCAAACCTGTTGTTTTGACCAGGTAACACACTATCACAACTGCCTTAATAGCTTTTCAACAAACTGGGTCAAAAGTTTTAAAGGGCAAACATCATTTGGGAGAAAGATACTAAGGGAGTTAAACATCCACTGCAGACAGAATGAAATCCTTGCTGTGTGCAATGCAGAACTCACAGTTTACAGACAAAAAAGATTCAGCAAAAATTACTTGTGAGCAAACATAATCTTTCATTAAATGAGCTAGTAGAAAACTAGCCAGATGACAGCTAAGGGTAAAAAAAGCACTCTTCAACTATCTTAGTTTTAATTTTAAATCGCTAAAACTGTTGTTCGTACAGCTTTATGCGGATGTCGTTTTTATCTTATTTTTCTGATGGTTCTAGGAAAAGATAAACTATACATGTAATCAGAAGAGCTATTATATTGCTAACAAGAGAAAAGTTACACAGCAGTCAGAGTTTGACTCTCAAGAAAGCCAGACTACACATACTCTAGATAAACACAGGAAAAAGCAAGTATTTCAGAACAAGGAATGGCTTCACCTACAAATAGAGTTCTAGGTATTTTTATGCATGCCAACTGAAATAAGTTTGAACAAACGGCAATCAAACACTCACCTAGAACAGCTTTTCATTATTACGATAGATCTCAGCTTTTCCTAAATATTTATTTAGTTTTGGAAAGAATGAATTTTAGAGATATTGATTTTAACAACAGAAAAAGACATCTGAGAAAAGTGAATTTTCTGCATGCATCTGACATCAAGAGTTCAATATATTTGCCAGGCATTCAAGCCTGATGCTACAACGAGCTTTGCCAGGGACATGGTACCTGACAGACCCACAGGTTCCATAGCAGCAGGCTCTGCGAGCACTACGGTGATACTAGGTGAAAGAGAACCTGAACAGGGCAAGTACACAACCGAAGGGTAATTACTGAGATCTGCTCTTGTATGATTTCATCTGAACAATGAGAAGAGCAACTAGATGGTAAACTATACATATTTAGGCATTAAAGAATACAGGAGTTGAACTACTCTTCCTCTGCTATCAGCAAAGGCAGAATGTTCCACTTTTCCATCACTTTTGCACAGAAAAGTTTAAAATCTCTGCCCCCTCTGCTGCTGTATTGAGGCCCCACTGGATAGAAGATAAGACTCCACACCTGGAAGTGGAAGGAAAAGGAAACCCTTGCTTTCTCCCTCCACAAAACACCTGGCTTTTCACCTGAGAATGCAGAACCACAGACATCTAAAATGTCTTTCAGGATGCAGTAACTTGCACTAGATGGGCAAATATATATTGAGATAAAATTTCCAGGAATAGCTGCTATTTCTAATAGCTACTGGTCTCCTGAACAAGCATAAATAGTAATAAGGTTAGTAAGGTTCATGTAGTTACTCCCATCAAAACGTCACTTTCTGGTTTAGTGAGTGAAGCACAAGCTTGGAAGAATGAACATTTTCTGATTAATTTTCCTCTTTTCTATGCGACATCCCATCACAAAAGGATGAAGTACTATCAAATCTCGCTAGACAGCCCTGTTCCAGACACTGTAGTTCATGAGCTTCCTTTTTACATCTGTTTTAACTACTACTGCCAAGCTCCAACTTACCCTTTAAGGCTATCTCTTTTCTACTTTATAAAGGTTCTCAGAGAAAAACCTTTTAATCAACCAACTAAGAAGTCTGGAAGCCAGTAATTCAAGTTATTCGTGCCACGGTCCTGCATTACCAACACTTTCACAAAGCCATCATAAAATCTTTTTATGCTTACTGAAAATAATCTACAAAATAGCAAATGCCCCCCCGGACCCCCAACCCTTCTGCCATGTAAATCAGACGAAGCAGGACTGGAGTAAAACTAATATAAACCTCCACTTGAAAGAACTGTATTTTCAACCAATGTAGATTACTGTTATATTTAATACAAAAATTTAAAGCCCTCCCCTGGACTCCAACAATTGTGGTATTGACAGCTAAGGTGGAAATTAAAAGCACAGAACAAGAAATCTGCAATGAATTTGCTGCAGCCACTACAAATAGGAAGTAGTTAGCAGAAGGAAAACCTTTTCTGCCAAATGGAAAAATAAGGAAAGATTATCTTTTTAATAAACTTTCATTTGTCCTTTTCCCCCCCTTTTACTCTCAGATATGTAAGCAGAATGTGCTTGGAAGCAGCAGAATAGTGGAGCTTCAAAAATCACTCATCAAACAATGGTGCTACTTTTAATAATTTATTAAAGGTCCTAAAACAAAGATCAAAAGGAAATATATCTAAGCATTTATATTCAATTCCACATTGCCTGATGACTAATTTGTAAAGAGTGCACAAGTCTTCACAACTGAAGCCAAAATCATTTGAGGATACTTTGATATAATGCCACAAAGGATATAAGCAGGAAGGCAGCAGGAGTTACAAATGGCCAACCTCCATTAAAAGTGCTAATAAAAGAATAATGGAATTTCCTTGTACTATGAATAAAAAAGTGTTTGGCACAGGAGAATTTAGACATGGAGAGGAATATCAAAGCTTCTGGTTCATCAGTTGCTTCTCTTTATTAGATCTTAATTGACTTCTTATTACATTTACCTTAAAATGCTTCAACACAAAAAAGCAATGATCCCATTCAAAATCTTGTAACACTAATTTCCTTTACTCTTCATGTTTCTCAATTTTCGCAGGTCCTTAATACCTGCTTTGCCAATCCTTGTAAATAATACAAGTCCATCTATAAAAAGTTCTTCGAAGTGATGGATTTAATTTGAAATGAAATATAATGATTAAAATTATAGAATATACCTACTGTTTGACAATGTTTTTTTAAGCTGTAAATTTTCAAGTTGCTGGCAACTATGGAACTCATAGCAACAACCTACTTCATAAATTTAATCCATTAATATTTACTCAATGTATTTATTTCTGATATGTGTAGTTACATATATACATGCATATGTTCATACATACAGATAGGTGCACACACATACATACTTCTGCCACCTTCTTCCCCCAAATGTAAAACCTACCTAATTTTTCTGATGTGTAGCTATTTGGTACGTGGCCAGGAAAAGAAGGGGTAGAGTTCAGAACTTTCCTTTGAAATGTCTAAACAAAAAAAATCTTTCAAATCTTTCTTTTTTTAAATGGATACTTGCAAAATCACATATGCTTTGCAAAACAGAAGCAGCAAAGACTGCTGACAAATTGTTAAAGGATTTAGTGTATTTGCTTAAAAAAACATGCCCACAAATGCATCCAAACCAGGAGGAACTCCCAAAAAATATTTACAAACCTACTTAACTCTCCTTCAATCTGCTGCTTAATGCTCTTTTGCATGTCTACAAAACCCCCATGACAAATAGTTATAGCACAGAAATGCTGTGATCCCCGTCTCCTGGTTCACCAAAATCTTCTTGTAACAGCTTTAGTTTTTTATTTCACATTGCAATATCTTTAGGGAAGTGATCTTCTTTTGTTACCCTATAATATGGGATATAATCAACGTTGGGTTTTTTTACCAGGATTCCCAGACTTTACGAACAAGGATCAAGTTACAATGCTGATGTGTATTTCTTCTTCTTCCCCCAGACAACCACCAGGCTTGTTAGCAAAGCAGCCTTTTCCAATGATGCTTCCAGAATCAATAGATAATTCATTAGTATCATGTATCTCAGGGACTAATTGACACAATAGGCTAAGCAACATACTCAAGAGTAACACAGTTTCTAAAGAGAGAGAAAAAAAGAGGGGAATCTGATACCACATATGGTCACTTTGCAGGATTTAGTGCCAGTCTATAAATTATACTTCTATGAGGTTAATGTGAGTCACTGGTTTCACAAATCAGAAAATGCAGCTTTTCAAGCTTGGCTTCAAAAAATAAACATTTATATGATAGCGTAATTTAAGTAATACGAATACCCTAGCACTTTCAATTTTATAATTTCCTCTCATTTTTGCATTAAACATGAAATACAGTTATCACAAATATTTAGAATTATTCTTAACAACAAACGTAGGTACTATATTTTTTCTTACCTTATGATCATATGGATTGTATGAATGAAACAGCTGGGACAGATCCTTTGTTCTCTGTTTTTTCTGAAAAGTAATATTAATAAATACACTGTATTAGAAAAGTTACAGGAAAAAGAGACTACTGATTTAAAAAGCTGTATGCAGGTACAAACACATTCTCTCCCCACTTTGTTAATGGAACTGTAGGTATGAAGAGCAGTATATGCAGATAAAGGATATTAAATACCCCAGGAAGTAATTAACATATATATTAACAATGTTAATAATATATATCCTTAATAAATATAAACACTAGTATATGGAACATCAGTGGAATGCGTAAACAATTCAGATTTGTTATAATTTCAGCACAATAAATCATAAATAATGTTCTGGAATACAGATAACAAAACTTGAAGATTAGGCTCCAATCTTGCAAAGACTTGTCTGCTATTCTAGCATGTACATGCAGTCCTCCTTTATAGCAGATTAGGTTTAAAGGGAGTCAGTTTAAAGAAGAATCATTTATTATTTTTCGATTTCTTTTGATGCTAATACTCTTATTGCCTTGATTGTGGAAAATTAATAGGCGGTATGCCATTTAATGCCAAGGCAAAGAGAAAAAACCTCCTTCTGTTAAGAGCAAAGTTCAAAGACAAAACCTGCTTAATCCAGTTTCTACCGAAATCAATGAAAGAGCTTTCAGTCATTTCAGCAGATGTTAAACACAATCTCGCAGCTGCATCCTATGGAGTGGGGGCAGGGAGAGGAGAAAAACATCCAGCCTTCCATCTTAATGCAGGGATGAGTCACAAAGAAGTTCAAAGTTTGATTATGTCAAAATCGACATTGACTTATCTCATAGCCCAGAAAGGCCGAGCATTGCACGTTGGAAACTGTGTAAAAGGGGAGACAACTACAATAACTCCTTGCTTGTAGTCTTGTACCATTGCTATCATTTCTGTGAAAGTAGTTTTCCAACTAACCTGGTAGGATCCATTCATGTTTCCAGCATGCCGAGAACTGAATAGACAGCTGTATGACTACACTATTTATTTTAACTTCTGGAAACTATAGGACAATTTAGTAATTTTTGATTATGCAGAAGGAACTATGCATTTCCTTTCTTTACCTGGTTTTTATTTTTAGTGAAATGTCCAGATGCAGCAATTTGGTCATAAAAGCCATAACTTTAGTTACCAGTACAAACTTATGACAGCTGGATATTTCTGAGTCATTAAAGGTATCAGATTAACTATCACTACTTCTGTGAGGTCCCTACCTGTGTTTTAGTTACGACCACTAAAGAGTCAAGAAAGTAATTTTTTACTCGCTGTTGCTCTTCAAACAAGAACGTTAAATTTTGTTTTCAGTATGAGAAGGTTACTTCTGTCATAGACAACTCTATTCAACTACCATAAGCAATACCTAACAGGGCCTGTTTCTCTGAGTTTACTAAGGGGCTTAAAATGAACAGAAGTCATATTAAAAAAGAAGTTTCTGTTACTATAGACTTTCTCAGCAATTGAACATACCTTTGCTGAAGAAAAGATCTCCCTTAGTAGAGGAACCTTTGCCTTCTAGCCCCCATTAATACCTCTTTTATTTCTAATGGGAAAAAACGCCACTCAAATGAAGGCATCGGGTAGCACAACCCAAATTCCATCACCATCCTACAATGACTTCTTTCCTGGTAGTACAGTTATACACAGTGAAAGTGCTTATAATACCACAAAAAGGATTTGAAGAAATGTGATAAACTGAAAAGAGATATCAAAATTATTATATAAAAAGGTTGCTTAAAAAACTAACTTAATGTAGAAACATGTAAGAAGTAGACAAAAGTATTTTAATTTGGAATATGAAGACCTCCACTAAATTTTCTAGGGAAAAAAAACAAACCACAAAAAAGTCCAGTTCTTGCTTTTTCTTCCCAAAGACTATTTCTCTTGAATCTATTTTGACTGCACACAAAGTGCTTTCAAGTATTTTTTTTTTTTTTTTGCAATAGCTTTAATAACAATAAAATTATATTATGGAAACCCTCCTATCCTTCACCCTCAGACTCTGGCCAAAATGGTATTTACACACTTGACTAGACAAGATGAAGAATGAAGATGGCTTCCATTACAGAACATATTGACATAACCTTCCACTTTTTATTTTAGGAAATTATGGTTTCTTTCCTACCTTTCCTACAGCAGGCATTAGCCACATGGTATTAACACTAAGTTTTTTTACATGAAGAAAGGCACGGTTCCCAGCTCACCTGTAAGCAGTGTAAAGCAGAGGAATGTAAAGCAGGCCTCTCCATGTCTAGACATTACACAGGAACATAAGGAGCCCAAAAGCTCTTTCTCCTTCATTGCCTCCAGCGACTATTTCAGTCCCTAAACTGCCTATTTACATGCATCTCCCCAGAATGTCTTTCCTTGACACAGGTTCATATTCTTATTTCGCCTTCCTCGGATTAGTCCAACATCCTTTTCAAGTACTCTCTTGACAAATATAAAAATATTTTTCTTCCCCCTGTCTTCCTGCTCGTTCCCTTTAGTGTTCTGATTCCCCATTCCTTTGTTCTGTACCAATAATACTGTCAAAACCACAAAGCAAAAAGACACTCAAAAAACCCTTCTGAACCCACATGTGCCACATCATACTGTTCCACGTACAGGAGCAGTATTGCTTTCAAACATCCTCACACATCTGCATAGGATATATTTAAATTTCTTATCTTTCTGAAAAAAATCAAGACTCTTTCCAAAGTCACCATACAAATTAGCACAGGGTGTTCCCAAAAATGAGAAGATCTCCTAGGAGTCTGATAGTAGCATCAGACTCTCAGCTTATTTCTGTACTTCCCTCAGTGACCACAGAACATTTCCTTAAACCAAGCTACTCTTGCCAGTGGGTTACTTGCAATACTTTACTCAGTCCGGCTGTATGTAATTTTGGTGCAAGAGCATTTGACACGTAACAAGCCAGAGATACACTATTCCTCCACAAACTTTTCCAGTATTGGTTTGCTAACTGGACAGTATCCTGTATCACTTGAGGTATATATCAAATGACGAACAGTAAAGACCAGCAAAGCCTCAGTCTGAGAACCATGCACAATTTCCCACTCGTGCACCAAAGCAAGCAGTGGTGTACAAAGTGGGGATTTTTTTAAGCACTAGGAGCAGGCAATTTGGGGAACTGCAGAGCAGTACCCTATCGGTACTGAAGGAAGGGCTTTCCCTGGATGGAGGGTGCTGCCTGCATCACTGCTGCGTACCAAATGATCACCTGCTGGGGTCTGTGGGAGCCCAGCAAGATCCTCCTAAATATAAAACCAGCAAGCCTCTGCACAGAAGGTTCCCTAATATACACGTGTGTGTATGTGTGTGCACTTTACAGGGGCAGGGATTTTGTTAGGTTACAAACTTTAGTCATGGATTGATTTAAATTTTAAACCCATAGTCCTTAGTTTGTAGCACTTAAAGAAACGGGTTTAGGGAGATGAGATTGAGAAAGAGATACATTCAGACACTATGATAATGTGTGCCACTAAAAATATATGCATATGACTGTGCAAACAATTTTTAAGTTTTCTGTTTCAATAAGTTTTAAAAATGCCACATTATATGGGAGATATAACAGAGACATTTTTTGTTTCTATCTTTAGCTGGAAAAGTATGTGAAAGCCTGATGAAGAACGGATTAAAGTGCTGCTGAGTTAAATACTGTAAAATCATTTATATTTGTACACATAAGTATGCCAGGACGGAAGGGTCTCCCCAAGTAAAGCAATACTTTATAAGTGAATTATTTCAAGCTTGTTACTAAAATACATGTAAGTAATCAAGTGCTTCTTGAAAGACAGGTATCATTCAACACGCAGTTATAAAAATAACAACCAGAAACCAACATCAACTGATGATGTTTCTTATGACAACATACATAGACAATGTTAGTAGTGAGGAAACAATGCATTACCATGATTTCATTATTTCCCCCCTGTAAGTGTACATACAAGTAACACATACTTGGCTCTAAATATTTCCTTTCTCTGTCTCTCATTTTCTGGGACTCAGATTTTCGAGGTCTTATTTTTAACTATTGAATTTTTTAAAGAGACACTGGTCATCTGAGACATGTCTTCTATGCTTAAAATATAGTAACAATACAGGATCCTTTTAGAAGACATATAAAATTATAAACCAGTAACACCAAGAGTTAGTGACCTTCTTGGTGTTTTTACTCTTTTTTTCTTGAGCATTGATTTTTAGCAATAATGAAACATTTTCTAATGCTTTGAGTGGACTGCACTGTGGATTATTATCCTACTTTTGATCAGGAAAGATCACTTAAAGAACAAATAGGTAGAATGTAAAAAACCAACCAAACAAAAAAACTCCATACAGGATGAATCTCTAAAACTGTTTAAAATATTTTCTGCACGAGTTAACCAGAGAATTGTGTGTTGACTACTTCAGAAAAATAAAGCTGAACTTAAGTTATTATTTTTTTTTTTTTTTGCAAATAATGGTGTGAAAATAGGGTAAAGGTAAGGATTTCCTAACAATACATTTTCATAAACAGAAAATACTTTAGAAAAGTAAGCTTAGAAATTAAATAACTATACCAAATACTAAACATTGTAGGATCCCACATGTATATTGCACTTTTCTGGTGATCCTGTTTTCATACTCAGGTGATAATTACCTGTCTTTCAGATGATATTAATGTAGCCTAAAACTTGTTTGTTTTCCTTTCAAGCATGGTATAATAGGTCTACAATGCTTATTGTGAAGGAGAATTACAATATCACCGAGATAACATTTTATTACGGATTACTTAGAAGCAGTTTAAACGGAATATATTTTTCATCTAGGAATAAAAGGGACAAAACTACTCTTCAATATGAAGATAACACTGGTTTCCTTTAGACTCGACTTTCAGTTTTAACAAGTCTATTTTCACCTTCAAGGTTCTTAATAATTCCAGCCTAATACCGTGACAGATCCGCAGATTCCACCAGTTCCACTGAAGGTGTCAGCAAAGTTCTCCTGCTTTTTTTTTTCTGCTTCCATCATTTAAAA